CAAATGGCTTTATGTCTGTTTTGTATAGACCAGGAGAAAATTGATTTCAGCAGGGTCTCGGTTAGATCAGCCACACAAATAAAATGATAGTGTCATTCCCTTGCTCTTAAAATAGGATCATTGCTTTCATAATCCAGCTACCAAAGCTCCTCTCTAAATAAACCCACTCCCCATCTTGACATGTTGCCCTTGACCTCAGAGAAGCAGAACAAGAAGCATCAGTGATGACTTGCCCTCACCCTCAGGTGGGCCCCTCTTGGCTACACTGCGGGGAGCGTGTTAGGTTTACTGCCAAAATGAGGAACTAAAGCCACTTAAGTGGCAAGTTTCTGCCCAGATTTCCATTTCTGAGCTGTCACGGGTTGACGCCGAGCCTCTTCCAGGATGCCTGCCTCCTCCTCCTCATTTCCACTCTGGTTTCTTGTGGCTGTGTTTCAGTGTATTGAAACTGGGTGGTTTTCATGACTGATTGAATGTGAAGGTCCCCAGCTATGAGCCCTTTCAGGAATGGGCACTGCTGTCTGGAAGAGGATATGGAATCTTCTCTCAGGTTTTTTAAGAATAATAGAGGCTTCATCCACCCAGACTGAATTAGTTTCAGTCGTGCTCCAGAGAGGGGATGGCTGACTTTGAGAGGCATAACAACCAAGAATGCTGTGGTCCTGACTCAGTCACATCCAGGATGTCCTCTGGGGAGCAGCAGACAGAAGTCTACTTCATTGTATCCGGAGGTAGATCTGGGCAAAGATGGCCAGATGTCCCTATTTCCAAGAACCAGTCAGTACTATGATTTCCAAAAATCCTTCTCTAGACAGAGTGATCAGCTTAGGGTGAAAATTTGATGATGATGTATTGATGCAGGTCAGGTTTGATGGTGGGTTCCACATGAACATGAATGACTGTGCAAATCCATCCCCTCCTCAAGAAAAACACAGTGGCCTTGTCCTGGCCGTACATCATTTAGGCCACATCTCCCTAAAACCAGATGGAAGTATCAATAGTATTTCTTGGAGTATGTATTATTGTCCCCATCTTACAGATGAGGAAACTGAGGTCCAGAGAAGCAAGTAGGTTACAGAGCAAATAAGAAGCACAGTTGGGTTCTTAAGCCAAGGCTGAAGCTCCTTCCACAAGGATGAAAAACTGCAAATAGATTTGTCACCTCACAACCATAGAAGCAAACTAAAGTCTTTTGACTGTTACCTGATGTAGAGTGGGCCTGGCGATATCTGCTGTGGGGCTGTCAAGACCTGAGTTTTTATTCCACCTCCCAGATAATTAATGGCTCAGTCCTGTGGGTGCTGATTGCATTGGGATGGGCAGGGGACAGGGAGGAAAGATAGAATCCAGCTTGATAAGATGGAAGAGCTGAGGAGCAGCTTACTGCCATCTGTGTCACTTCTCTCCTCATCCTCATTTCCTTCTCTTTTTGTCACATAACTTGTCCTTCCACATACAAATCCAAAGGGCAGGCTCACAAGGAGAATGGCTTGTTAGATGAAAGAAACTGGGAAACTTGTGGCTGCCTGTTTGTGTTTTCACGCTGGTCCACGCTCTTTTTTTTTTCGGGCACGCTGTACAGCTTGGGGGATCCTAGTTCCCAGCCAGGGATTGAACCTGAGCCCTCCGCAGTGAAAGCAAGCGTGGAATCCCAACCACTGGACCACCAGGGAACTCCCTGATGCTCGTCCAGATGTGAGGTTTCTTGTTGTAATTCCAATCCCATGCCTCATGTGCCAGAGACGCATAGCAAACATCCCAGCTGCCCGCACTGTGGATGCCCACGTGCCAGGGCCTTGCAGCTTCATCTGCAACTATTGCATTGGAAGCAGTTTGGATAATTGCTCTCTTCAAATGGGAGGATGGATTGGGGTTGCATAAGGTGCTATTATTACTTATTGGAATAATAAGTAATACTTATTGGCGTCTAATAGGGATTTGCTCCCAGTTTGTCTCCTGTTCCAAATCAGCCAGTCTGGTCAGGAGAGACTGTTCCCCTCTAACTCCAATACCTGCCTTCACTTGGAGGCCGGCCCTGTGGTGTCCGGGCGGTGCAGATGGCCAGCACCACCCAGTTCGTGGGAGGACCTGCCCTTCCCTTTGCTCTGGCCAGAGACAGGCCTGTCACTGCGATGACTCTCACAGACGTCCTTCCCCTCCTGCCCACTTCACCTTTCCCCCGGACCCCTAATGTATCACCCACAACCCCCTTCTCCATGGTCCCTAACAATGAGTAACTTCTCCCTTTCTACCTCAACTTCCCACACCCTCTTTTCCTAAGTAGCAAAATTTAAATCCATCAGCATCAGGGAAAATAGTAAAATGTTAGGCTTTTTTAAAAGAGATTCTGTATTGAGTTCAATAAACTCAGCTAATCAGTAGCAGCTATAATATTGTTAACAACAACACAACCATTAGCATGTATTGGGTGCTTACTGAGCACAGCCTAAGAGGCAGATGATATCATCAACCCTGACTTGACAGCGAGGCGCCTGAAACACAGGGCAACGAAGGGACCTGGCTGAGGCCACACGGGCAGTGAATGCAGAGCCAGGACCTGGGCCGACCGACCCGGAGCCCGTGGTTCTGGTGCAGGTGCTCTTCTATCGTTGCCCACGGGCCTGGAGTGCGAGACCTGGAAGGAGGCCTTCCCCGCCCACTTTGCTGCTTCCCGTCCCTCCTCTACCATCCACAATCCATCCACAAGCCTCTGCAGGCCCTGCCCTTCCTTTCCATCCTTCCACCTGTTCTTCCTCCTGGGCCTGTCCTTCAGCGAGCAGCAGAAGACACCTTCCCCCCCTGCCCCACTGTGCCTCCCCTCGTTCTGCTCACGTGTGGGCTTCCCCCGCCCCCGGCAGCCACACTGGTCCCTCTGGCCCCCACCTCACTGCCTCACACATCTCCTGATAAACGTCTGCTGCAGGCCTGTTCTCTGAGTACAAATAAGGTAAGGCCTCCACCCTCGAGTCTCTGTCTAAACCCGCAGTTGTAGGCCTTCCTCGGGTCCTGCCTGCACAGTGAGCTGAAGGCCTCCCAGTGCCCACCCTCCAACCCTGCGCGCAGAGCCCTTCCTCACCCACCGCCGCCCCCGACCCCAGGCCAGCCTGCCCAGTTAGTGCCGGTGCCCCCTGGCAGGGACAGTGTTTGTGTGCAGTGCTGGCGCTCAGCTGTTAGCACCCACCACCAAGCCCTGATGACAGGCTAGGGGAAGCCCAGCCCCGTGGCTTCAAAGTATCTCCATTCAGGTTATTTTTAAACAGCATTTTGCTGTGCCCATGGGTTGAATGACACTGTGCTTGCAGCCAAGTGTTGGGGTCACGACAGACCCTGAGGAAAGGACAGTAACAACTATGCATTAATTCAAATGTCTGCAAAATATATATTTAGTTTATTCCCTGGGCCCAGATGCTAACACCTGTAATCCTGACTCTAAGAGATAGCTTTAAGGCAAAACTGCACTTTTCCTTGAGGCAAGGCTCATGAGGCCCTGCAGAGGCCCCACTGTTCTTAGGACTGATTAGGCTGAAGATCTGTGCCAGGGAGGCAAAGCCTGAAGGCGGGAGAGACTAGGAGAGCCTGACAGCCACGGCCCACACTTGCACCCATCACACCAGGGGCCTGGCCCCGACCCCATGGCACTATCTGAGCTGTGGCCCAGACAACTGGCCTTCATGCCCATTCGATCAGCAGCCTGGCATAATTTTCTGGCCACCTGAACACACACCCTGACAGAACAGATTCTCACCTGTGGCCGCTATCAGGTGAGAGAATGTAATCATCACCCAGCTTTGTGTGTCCCATCCCAGGCTAGAAAAGACCTGGGCCTCCTGGAGCTCATTTCCCACGTGATGGAACCAGGACCTACAGCTTCTGCACCTTCTCCCCTCTTTGCCCAGTAGAACCTTAAGCCTTGTGTTTACCAACTGATAGTGACAGGTGACCAGGAGGCCTCTTTGTTGGTTCAGGCACCACAGGGTTGGCGATAGCTGTTCCACTTGGCCAGTTGCTTCTTATATTTTCTTCAGCTAAACTTTCCTGAGGGAGCCCAGTGTGTCAGGCCATCGTGATAATGATAACTGCTATTCTCTCTCTCACTCACACAGAACATCTTTCTCGAAATATAATTCACACGTCAAAAAAATCCATCCTTTTCAAAGTGTGCAATTCGATGGTTTTTAGTCCATTAACAGAATTGTGAAACAATCACCACTATCTAATTTTAGAGCATCTTCATCACCATCAAAAATAAACCCTGTACCTATTAGCTGTCACTCCCTATCTCCTCTGCCCCACAGCCCCTGGCAACCAGTAGTATACTTTTTGTCTCTGTGGATTTGCCTGTTCTGGAAATTTCATATAAATGCAAGCATACAACATGTGATCTTTTGTAACTGGCTTCTTTCACTTAGCATAATGTTTTCAAGGTTCATTTGTGTTGTTACAGGTATCAGTACTTCATTCCTTTTTACTGCTGAATAATATTCCATTGTGTGGATGTACCACATTTTGTTTATTCACTTATCAGCTGATGGGCATTTGGATTATGTCCACTTTGCAGCCGGTATGAATAATCCTGCTATGAACATTCATGCACAAGTTTCTGTGTGAACATAGTTTTCAATTCTCTTGGGTACATACCTAGGAGTGGAATTGCTGGGTCATATGGTAACTCTACGTTTAACAGTTTGAAGAACTTCCAAACTGCTTTCCAAAGTGACCGCACCATTTTACAATCCCACCAGCAATGTGTGAGGGTTTGCGGTTCTCTTTGGATATTCACAACAGCTTTCTAAGATTGGTACTATAATCTACAACTTACAGTTAAGGCCACCGAGGCTCAGAAAAGGTAAGTAACTTGGCTATTACTTCCAAATGCCAGGCTCTTCCCTCTGTGACCAATGGCCAAGTATTAACCCTGTATCCCCAGTGAACAAGTGTGTTTCTCACCCTTTTACCTCTATGCCTGCATCACCCTGATGAGAAATCTTTATGTGTTACAGGACGTGTCAGGAAATGCTGCATTTCTGGCCTTCACTCCTTTTGGGTTTGTTGTTCTGCAAGGAAACAAGAGGGTCCACTTCATTAAATGGTGAGTATCTTTATTTCCAAAACAGGCTTTTTATACCTCACCAACTGGGGAGGGCTGTGGTTCCCATGTCCTATGTCTGTGATTGGGCGAGTTCTGGTTCTGAGCCCTCTCCAAAGCCTTGCATCCATAATGGTAACTGATGAAGGTAGTGGTCTCTTCTAGGGATCCTATGCTTCCACAGGGGTGTTCCTGAGAGCCAACAGCCTCTCCAGAGAGAGAAAGGGTATAGAAAGTTGGTTTCTGGGTAGGATGAGACGTCTAGAGCTGGAGCCAATGTTAGGGAAGCAAAGTTCCCATGAGAACTGAGTCCTTGGGACTGTCCCCCGCTGAGGACCGTAGCATCTGCAGGGATGTTTACTCCTTACCCACTCTCCTAACGAAGGAGGGCTTGCAATGACCCCTGGGGCAGATATAAGTTACCCTGTTGCTCTGGCAAAACACCCTCCTCGGACCAAACCCCACGGTGGGCACTGCCTGCAGGAGCACAGATGCTGCTCTGTCTCCTGCCCCTCTTCAGGGCTAAGGTGTCCTCAGCCTCCAAGAGTCACGTCCCCACTCTTTCTTCCCTCCCCTGCCTCTCCCACTCCCAATGCTAGCAGGCAAGAGCCACTGCTGCAGCCACAGCTGCTCGGAACTGCTTCCTCTCCGCCCACCTGTCAGGGTCTGTTCTGCTGCGTGGCTCTGTGAGCCGATGCAGCAGACTCTGGTTTGCTGATGGACGTTTGGCTCTCCTAGAGACCCTTTTTCTGGCCCATGCAAACATCTTGCAGCCTCATGTTGCATATTTTACTAAGCCCCTGTGATCTCTGAACCTTCCTGGACCTTAGACTGCCAAGCCTAAGCTGGCCAGCTCCTCTCAGGGGCTTGGACAGGTGTCTCTCCTTGGCCCAGCAGAGCTCAGCCAGGGAAGCCTGCTCCTGTCTTGTTTCTTCCGCCTTCTCAAGAAGAGCTAGCGGGGAACCTGATGACAGAGCTGCTCCCTGGTGAGCTTTCTGCTGGGGATGCTGCAGGCCAGCTCTCCTGCGACATCCTCTTCGGCTCCCCTGTTAGCTTGTGGACAGACACCCCCTTTCCAACCCTTGTGGCTCTTGTGAAGCTTGGCGACATGATCAACCACAGTGCTTGTGAAACTGCTCCCCAGACATGCCCAGCCAGGCCCCATTCCCCAGAAAACCCCTTCCCAGGGTGGCCTGCTGCACTGGGCTAACCGGTGTGCTCCCCAACACGCCCATTTGCTACCCCTTCTCAAGCTGGCCCACTCACTGCACTTCTTGGGTGAAGATGGTGAGGGTTTGGGGTCTTCTGTCCAACAAGATACTTTTCAGAAAAAGACAATGAACAGGGTCAGGCCACTGCTCTCCCAGGGAGGAGCACTTGCTATTTGGAGACCTCTGGGTCGTCTGATGTTCCTTAGAAGGCCCAGATCCTGGCCACACTCCAACCAGGGTAGCTGTCTTTATGAGGTGGCTGGTAGGGGGCATTTTAGCTAGAAACAGGTAGGACACACCGGGGCCTGTAGTCCCTAAAGTATCCTTACCCTCCAGAAGCCCTGCTGCTCACTGGGTTGTCCCAGACCCTTTTCTTTCTATAGCTTCTCTCACAGCCCATTTCTTCAGGACGTCTCTTCATATGCCTCAACTTTAAAGTAATAGATGTAAATTTAATCACACTGCCAATAGAAAATTTCCTACTTTCCTATCTTGCTTATTGAAGCCTAGGATGATCTGTGTGCTTGTTTATATATCAATCAATTGATATTTATTGTATTCTGTATGTGTATGAGAGATTGATTGATTGGGAGGGAATCTAACAGGGAAGGAATCCCATGTGGCTTGTACTAGCTCAGAACTGGTGGTCAGAAGTTGTGAGCTCTCATCCTGACCCAGCTATGATTTCCAGGGAACAGGTGACCTTCCTCTGTCCCCTGAGTTTTGTCCAGTAGTAAACTGGGTACATTGTTTTCACTACCTTTCTGCTACTTTCTAGGATATTGAGGAAATCTCCCTAGAAATCGCAAAGAGGAAGAAGCCAAGTGGAGGCAGATATGCATGGTCAGACCTCCTTGGGGTCTCCCAGTTGGGTAGAAAAATAAAGACTCTGCCCCCAGTGAGGTAGGAGGGCCTTCAGGCTCCAGAGGGTAGCTGTGTCAGGCCAATGGAAGGGAAGTGAGGAGTGACCAATGCTGAGGCCTAGTTCTCTGGCTCTCAGGGACATCCACCTAAGACCCCAGTCATTTTTTCCATTTTGTAAATGTAACCAAGGCTGAGAGCAGTATGTGGAGGTGAGGTCTAAGTCGTGCCATGTACAGTAACCATGTCACTTCTTCTGATTTGTGTCTGTCCTGCGGGTGGATGTACCCCAGTATCCTGTTTGCCTCTTTTACTGCAGCCATTCACTGGGCTGGTGGCTTCAAGGATTTTTCTACAAAAACCCCTAAGCCCCTTTCCTGGTCAGTACGCTGCATGACTGTTCCATGTAATCTGTTCTCTCTCTTTGGTATGTTGCCCTGCCCCCTTCCCTGAGATCATTTGACATTTGTCTGCATTAAACTGCATTTTCCATCCAGTGGCACAGTCACCTGAAAGACTCAACTCCCTCAGAACCTGGTCGCATTGTTTTTCATTATTTGCTGTTATCTTGAACTTTGGCCTCATCAGCTACCTGTGGCATCTTACATTTGACAGTCCCATCAAGATAATGCACCTGTGTTATGAACCAAATCCCGAAATGGCCCAGGACCACTCTACCTAGACTCACTTCCCATGCAAACGTTTCCCTTTTACAGCCAATGTTGATGAGCCCGAAATCTTCCTATCACCCTATTATTATAGTGTGATTGACCAGAAAACTGTGGATTGAACTGTTTCAACAACTGTTCTCTAAGGCCCCTGCGCTGCTGTCTTGTTTCAGTTCTAATTTTGGCTAAAACTGTGTCTGTGCCTGGAGCCCCTTCCAGTCGGGGTGGGCTGTGCATCTACAAGACTTAGCTGTGAGCAAGCAGCCCACAGTGAGATGACGGGCGCTCTCTTTGTGCTTGTAGGAATGAGGTGACCAAGCTGAAATTTGAAGGAAAGACTTTTTATTTGTACGTAAGTCAGAAAGAGGTGAGTGCTGGCTTCCTTCTCTTCACGGAGGGCTAGGGCACTGGGGTGGCTCCTGATGGCCAGGGCTGAACCAAAGTGGTCCATCCAGGCAGAGCTAAGCCCCCTGCATGCCAAGCCGGGACCAAGTTCAAGGCTTGAGGTGAGGAGACATGAGATGACGAGAGGTGGCTGTAGGTCCTGGAGCACAGGGACTTCCTCAGGGATGCTGGTGACCCTCAGAGGTTCCATACCTCCAGGAAGTACAGAGTAAGATTCTTTTGCTTCCATATGAAAACTCCAGGAAGATAATACCGAAAAAAAAAAAATTCCAGATGAGAGTGCCACTTTCTCTGGGGAGGGCTCACTTGGTTCATGCGGTGCCAGCAGAGACTTACTCTGATTGGACCTGCCAGGTGTGCCCTTCTGCACTGAACTCAGCTCTGTCCTGTGGGTGCTGCAGGCTTCTCTTCCGGCCAGGCAGCCCCTTCCCCGTCTGAAGCCTCTCCCTGAGAGCACTGGGGAGCCTTCAGGCAGCTCAGGGCTCAGTGTCCTGGCCCTCTTCACCCTTCACTTTGCCATCCACACTCAGATGTTTCTATGTGGGATTTTTTGTAGGAAAAGAAAATTATTCTCACATATTTTGCTCCAACTCCAGAAGCCTGCAAGCACCTCTGGAAATGTGGGATAGAGAACCAAGCCTTCTACAAGTGAGTGGACACCTGGGATGGGAACTGCCTTTATCAGGGCCAAAGCCATAGAAGCTACTTTTAGAGGAACAATGGGCAGGAAAGTTTGAGAAACTCTGACAAAGGAGACATGAGATGACAAGGCTGGGCTTCCTTATAAAACTCAGACCCCTTTCCGGGTGGCTGTCTGTACCACCTGGAGGGTCAGAGCTGATGTCTGGGAATGTGTGTCAGTGGAGTTGCCCAAGGTGTCTACCTTGCGATGTCGTTGGACAGCCCCCAGTGGCAAAGCAGTTCTGGGTCTTTTCAGGGTAAGGCTTGGGCCAGAGAAAGCCCATAGGTACCTGACTTGAATAAAGCTGGCCCCTTGGAGCCATTCAGAGCCCAGAATACAAGAGCTCCATGAAGGAACAGGCACAGCCCAGAGCAGCTCCCTAAGCCTTGGAGAGACTCTGGGGCCCGCTCCCCAGTGGGTGGCCTGGTGCTGAGCTGGGGTTGATACCAGCCCTTCCTGGTGTGTCACTGACAGGCCAAGTGCTCAGGAGCCGGGGGTCGGGTAGCCGGAGGAAGCAAGGACTTGACTGTTACTGAGATAGCAGCTTTGGGGCAAAGGAGAGAGCTTAGCTTACCAAATGATTTTGTAAAGTATATTGAGGCTTTTGTGCCCAGTTTTCTTTGATTAAAAAAGTTGTTATAAAAGCATTAGGGAGCAAAGAAATAGCCCATCGAGAAACTGGGGTGATGCCAGATGAAGTGTATTTCGCTAAAACCCTTGGTCTTGTTTTTAAAATAGAATGCCATGACTTATGCTTTAATAAGCTGCATCTTAATCAGAACAACATAAGACAGAATGTATGGTATACTCCTCTCCTGACAGGCCATAGTTCTCCCTCCAGTAACCTGAAGGATCCAGAGCAGAATTGCTCTGGGCTGGGAGGGCACCATCTTCCTTCCCACTTAACAGACTCTGCTACCTGCTGACTGCTGTGGGATGCTGGCCCCCACAGGCTGTTTCTTGGGCAGGCTTTCTGAGTTGTATAATAAATTCTGTGCATCTGATACCAGAAGCAGGGGTGAGTTGAATGGGCAGCCTGAATTCTCACCTGAGAGGGCTTCTTTCTTCTCATGGAGAAGACACTCGGAAGACTTTCATGTGTTCACATTTCCCTCCTATTCAGTCCCTGGCTGTCCAAGGAAAGCCGAGAAAACATTTCAGCACCATTTCTGGAGGCCCTCCTTTGTTTTTCCGTCTGAGCCATGGGAACAGAACTGTGCTTCTGAACCTGTGACCAAACTCAGTTTCTGAGTCTTTCCTTAACAGATTGCCAACATCCACACTGGAAACCAAGGCCGCTTTTCACTGTTCTCCATGACTGCTAATTAGGTGTTAAAAGCCTCTAGCCTGGGTCAGACCCCCATTTATGCCAAGTCGCTAGCAGGAGCCACTTCGGCCTCACTCAGAGTGTCTGTCATGGGCAGATCCCTGCCCCACTTTTGGCCTAGTGCTTTGAAGGGAGCCGGTCAGGCTCAAGAACATGCTCAGATAAAAATAACTTTACGTGTCTAACATGTATTAAATATTTTAAACCAAAAAAAAAGAAAAAGAATGTGCTCAGACAGGAGAGTAAGTAGGCTCAGAGCCTCATGGAGCCCTGAGACAGGTGGGGATGGTGTCCCCAGCACCTGCTGTTCATGGATTATAGGGACAACTCCCTAAATATTCACTGCCCGCTCAGGACAAAGGCTTCAGACCAGTTTGGTTCCCAGCTGGGTTAGCACTACAGGCACCCAGGGCGTGTTGTGGATGGGGTCAGGTCTTAGGAGATTCAATCTGGGCAGCTCTGCCCAAGCTTCCCTTTCTAAGTGAGAGTACAGGGATCAGAGCAGTCACTCAAGGGTGGCTTCCAGAGTCTCCACCTCAGCTGTTCACAGCCTTGAAAGTGGTGTTAATGGGCTTTCTGAGGGAGGGCAAATGGTTCCAAGTTCAAACAAATGGTGGAACTTTTATTAAAGTTCAGCTAGTTTCTTCATTTCACGACTTCTCAGAGTCTCTAATGTGACAATATACTTTAGGTTCTCTCCAAGAAGGAGATGGAATAGGAAGGGCACTACTCTCTTCTCCACCCACAGTTACCCAGACATGGACACGAATTCTCAAATACGCGGACTGGAAGGGACTCCTGAGGTCAAGCAGTCCCAGCTCCACCATTTTATAGATAAGAATGAGGCTAAGAGAGGAAAAATTTCCCCAGGGTCACACTGCTAACCAGTGGCCTGGCTGAGATTCAGCAGGTGGCATTCTCTTTCC